TCTGGTTGATTTAACTGGTATAGTCTGGTTAACTGGATCTGCTAGAACTACCTAAAACCACTGCTTATAGTTTAGGTAGCACTTCATGGGTAGAAATCCCTTAAGAAGCAGAGTTGCAAGGCATCTTCCATATACAGGATCTGTTCTGTATTGGATGATTTTGTCTTGCCTTCTGCATTGGCTTTCTCAGAACAACCGAAATGTCCTATATTCTACTTTTTTTTCCCCAGTGAATTACAACAGTTCATCTATTTGTTGTAGCTATGAGAGCTATTTGTCAAATGCATCTGAGACGCCTGTACTTTTATTAAGTTTGTGACCCTACTAGGAAGTTATTCTTTCACCCTTACTACCCTCCACACTTAAGCCTGCTCTGTAGAGTCAATGTCAAGGCAAGCTCATCCAGGCCAATGGTCAGGTCCTCTCTCAGGAATTTCCCAACAGAGAATGACAATCTGTCTTCCTGGAATTTTTACCAGCTGCACTTATCATCACCCTGGAAGACTGTATTGAACAAATCTATTCCATTTTCCTTCAAGAATTTAAAATATGAAACTCACTTTGTTGGAGACCATCTCAGACCATAGACTTTTCCCAAGCTTTCTGTGAACCGTATCTAGTGATGTGCTAGTAATATGAATTAAACAATAACAACAAAAAAGCCCTTACTATAGTACTTGCTGATTTCTGTGGTGAGGATGCTTCTGCCATGATCAACTTTAAGGTACCCAAGTGAAACTGCTGAACTCAGAGTTGGGAAGAGCTGCACATATATTCTACTCTTGAGATTTGTTAAGATATGACTGCAGTACAATTACACCCATGTTTTCTTTTTGCTAACATATTTTGCTAATTAATCATATTTTACTTTACTTGGATAATGAATTGTTAGTATTGGTGTTTTGAGGAAAGGAATTCTGCAAACATTCTACAGGTAGGTTGACCAGAGGAGGTGAGGAGAGCCTAGGGAATGAAGGAGAGTGTGGGATAAAAATAACTCCTAGGAGGTGGGAATGAATCCTAGGTTGCTAGTATTGCTGTTAATCAAGATAGTGGGTGGAGCTTCAGGGAGGAAAGGTAACTAATTTACACAAAAATTGAGCAAATATTTATTGAGTACAAACTGATGCCTGACACAGGAAATTCTAGGTATTGAGAAGACACAGCAGAGCACACAACAGATAAAATCCTTGTTCTTGTGGAACTGATAGCTTATCAGAAATGGCCTCTTGAATGCAACCTGTGGGAATCTCTTTGAAGCCTGAATCTTCTCCTGAGTACACCCCTATCCTTTTCAGTTTGAAGCTACCAAGACATTTAATAAATACCTTTCTGGTACCTTGTAGCACATCAGTATAAACTTACGTTCAACCTGACTTTACATGGCGCAGTTGATCCCTCTTGCAGAAAGCCTTCCCTAGACTTACATGTCTCCCTTCAATTCTGGGTAATTCTTAGTTCCATGTAATGTGCACCCCTTTACTTCCTTACTACATTGTGAACTTTCAGGGGTTGTTTTCTTAGCAAGTTCCATCTTAAGTAGTTGAGGCAGGACCACAGATTAGCCTTTATGTGAAGTACTAAAGTTTATACTATATTGTCCATGTAAAATGTTCTTTTAAGACATTCCAATCATTCATATTAATTCAGTTCCTTTTGTGACATTAAAACAAAATCCCCAAACAACAACAACAAAGAGCTCCTGAAATCTGCCTGCAGAATTTTATTCTAATTAAATACAACACACAAGCTTTTTGAAGTTCATTATAAAAGTAATGCTTTTGGACTTCCTCATAATGACTTTATTCACTATTGTACATTTGGCTCACTGCTAGAAGAAAGTTACAAGGATAGATGGTGGCCCCAACAACAGATATTTACTTGGGAAAGAAGTTACACAAGGAAACATATCAACTCGATGTCTTGCGTCAGTTACTCTGTGACCAACCAGGAGAGGGAATGGCTTTGCTCTAGATGCTGGCACCCAGCAGGAACTGTCTCATCTCTATCCATGGTGGAAATACAGCATGGTGTTCTCTAGACGTGTTGCATCTGCTACATGGCAAATCTAAGGGACTCTAAAGAGTATCATTAGAACATGATTTCTTCTTCTACAGCAAGCAGTCTCAGCAGGAATTGTGAGTTTGCTTAGGTTTTCTGAAGATACCAGAATCAAAGCCTTGATCATTTTGTCCCCTGAATGGATTTCATGACCGTACTCTTGAATATTTCAAGTTTTGAACATGGAGGGACTTAGAACATTCTCACATTTCTAATTTGTTCCAGCTTCATATGTGTCATCATTCTCTCTGAAATCAACTTTAGATTCAACATCCCCTGCCATTGGGACTTCCAGAGGCAGTGTTTCAACTTTGAAGTGTTGTGCTGAATAGCTTGCTCTTATCACATGGCTTAACTGCTGTGATGCAGATATTCCAAGGGTTGCTGCATGTATTACATAACTCAAAGGTATTTGGAAAGCTTAATTTCAACTTCTTCAAAGGGAACATGAATGTTCCAGGGCCAAAGGACACAAATAAACTTTTATTTTTCAGTTCTGCCACCTGGTATTATTTAACATAAATATAAAACCAGACAGGTTCCCAATATAGAAAATTTTTCCAGTTATTGTCCTTGTATCTCATCTCTTTGCCTTTCCTAAAAAGAAGACTGGAATTGACGGGTAAGCTTCCCCATTAGCCTCAGATTAAAGTCTTCCCTTCCTGGTTCTCATACTAAATTTCGGGTTTTATTTGAAATCTGTTCCACTTCAGAAATTTCAAGCACAGTTTCATCTAATCATGATCAAACAAAACCTAGAAGCCTTTAAACAGTAGAAAGTACTGTGTGGCTGATACTGTAGCTCATGGCATCCCCATGAACTTTTACCTAAGTTTTATACCTGATTATATTTGGGCACTGATAGCCTTTTATAGTAATACTGAAAAAAAAAATAAGTTTATGGCAGGACTAGATTGAGAGAAAGTTGCATAAAGTTGGGGGTCCCTGAAATGTACAGCTATCACCCAAAGCCCATTTCCCTCTAAGCTGGGGTTAATGGCCAAAGTACATCTTCAAAACACCATCTGCTTTGAGAATGAGTGCAATGCTCTTTCTGCACAGCTCTGTGTGCACACTAATTGTTCTCAGTACCTTGGCGGTTGTTTGTGGTCATACACTCCGTGGACCAGTCTTGGGGGATCACAGGGGAAACCAGCTCAGCAAACTTCTCCAGAGGACAGCTGGGGGTGCAGCCTGGCAGTGTTAGGGCGTAAGCCTCATGCTGGGTCTCGTTCCGATAGTACATCTCCACGAAGTACTGCCTTGGTGGGGAAAGGCAGAGGAGAGAGCTCTGTTAGTTCTGCCATACTGAACTGCTACTGAACCTCTTTCCACCTGGATGGTAACATGCTAATTGGAGGGCCCATGGAAGAGCTTATGGGAATGAGATTTTGGCCAATTTTTATGTGGAAATGGGGAGACTGGGGAAGGCAAGACAGATTTGGAGGTGGGATTGGGAAGGCTGGTTTGTTAGGTAAAGAGAAGCACAGGAGGTGGGAACCAGGATGCTTAATCAGAGAACTGAAAGGAGATGGTTGGGGAGATGATGCCACTTCAATGAGTCTTGTAATGAGAAATGAGGGGCCTCTGGGGGTGATGGGTCACCCCTTTTGTATTCTATTCTTCTCATTTGTGTCGTCCTCTGTTCTTTTTTCCTCTCTTAATGTTTATCTCAGTCTTTACCCTGAATGTATCTTTCCTTTTCCTTAACTAGGCCATGAATATGAACCTGAATAATATGTAACACATGTACTTGAATATATGAAAGTTTTTACAAAATCTCAGAGGTGTTGATGTAGATTCAACTCCTGTGTCATATTAGAGAGGACGCTCTTAAAACTTTATTTTAAAAAACAAAGTGTCTTATGTCCACAACCAGTCTCAGTAAAAAAAACCAATATGAATTGCCTATGAAAGATACTTCCCAACCAAAGAGGCAGGAGAGAAATTTAAATAGGATTTAGTGATCTTTCCTGATGCAGTGAATTCACAATTTCAACTTTTAGATGTTGTTATAAACAAGCTTTTAAAAACATCACTGTAAAAAGTCGTATAGGCACAGTAACTGCAAATATCATTTATAGGATATTTATATTTTAAATTTTTCTAATATTATATGAACAAGCATATACATGTTGGGATAACTTTTCCAGTGGCAACATCTTTTATCTCAGGATGATAGAGCGTAGATGACCAATAGTTCATCCCAAAACCATGATTTTCTGCCCATTGAATAGAGTCACAGATCAGAAATGACTATATTCTCAGGTTCTCTTGCACCTCGGTGGCACCAAGTGATCCATCTTAGCCAATAGAATGTGGGCAGAAATGGTAAGTGCTTCTTTTGGGCTGAGGTAGTTGATAAGCAGGTTGTCTTTCTATCCTCTCTGTCCTTTCTACAAGCTGCTGACAGGTGGCACAGCCCTCTTGAAACTGTAGAACCCTAGGTGCCTGATCACTATGTGGGAACACCCCGCAGAACACCTGCATTGACCTATTGTTATGGTTTAGATTTGAGGTGTCCCCCCAAAGCTAATGTGTGAAGTAATGTGAGAAAGTGTAGAAGTGAAATGATTGGGTTATGAGAATTTTAACCTAATTAGGGTATTAATCCTCTGATAGGGATTAACTAGGTGGTAACTGTAGGCAGGAAGGGTATAATTGGAGGAGGTAGGCCATTGGGCATGCCTTTGGGGTATGTATTTTGTCCTCAATTAAAAGTGGAGCTGTCTCTCTCTGCTTCCTGGTGGTCACAACCTGAGCTTTTTTCTCTTCCATGCTCTTCCGCGCCATGATATTCTGCCTGAGCTCAGGCCCAGCGCAATGGAGTTGGCTGTCTATGGACGGAGACCTCTGAAACCATGAGCGACAAATAAACTTTTCCTCCTCTAAATTGTTCTTGTCAGGATTTTGGTTTGCAGCACTGAGAAAGCTGACTAAAACACCTGTTGACCTGCAACACCTGCACTGGGCTTTTGGATAAGGGAAAGATTAATTTCCACTAATTCTTAGGTTAAGCCCCTAAGAATTTTAGATTTCATTTGTACAGAAGGCAGAATTACCCTTCTTAATTAATATATCTAATATTTCATAAGCACTCATCAGGGGACTCAAAATTGGCTCTAGTGGAGAAGACACATGCTAAAGACACATAAAAAAGAATTGATAAGAAACTATTCCATAAAAAGTAAAAATGGAAAAAAGTAGTATTTTCAACTTAATGAATTATTTTATATAGCTTATGATTTTAAATTTATACACTTATTTAAAATTAAATCTTTAAAATATATATTTAACTACCTTTTCTACAACCTTAACAGTTTGTGTATTTAAAATAGCTAGACATCTAAAACACTCTCTCCTAATCTTATAGGGAAAATGTGGGAAATGACCTAGTCAAGATCGCCCTATAAGCAGGCATCTATAGTATTTGTTAGCTTAGATTCTCCTTGTTCTTAACTTAAAGGCAATCAAGTCCAACTTTCAATCCTTCTATAGAGTGCCAGTAAGAAAATCCTAGTAAAACAATAACCTTGACCTGTGCATGGCTCTTGGTTAATTTTTTTTTTATTCTGTGTCCAGATCACTCAGTTGAAAAAATAACTCACACTTGTCTAATAGCATAGGTTTTCTCAAGATGGTGAAAGAAAGTGATTCAGGGGAAGAAAGTACTATGGCTCCCTCACAAAGCAAGCTCAGGCCCCTGGGGTACAGAAATCACAGAAGAGGGAGGCCTGAGAAGAGTCAGTAGCTTCTCTTGTCTTATCCCTGAAGAAATAGTGCCTGTGCTTACAGTTGATCCTGGAATTTTGTCTGGATTTATTAACTATGTGTCCAGAGGTGGTCTTCAAAGGGTCAGATCTGTGCAAGGTTTATTACTAAGACAGATTTTTATGTTTTTAGTCTTCTCTTTCTCATGTTCTACTGTTTGCTATTCTCCATTACTAGTCTCCATTTGCTTCTCTCTGCTCAGACCCAAGATATTTGAGAGCAAATCAACTAAGACCACATTATAGTTTGACTTCATCATGGTGTCACCCAATTAGAGGTTCGATAAAGAAAACATCTACCCTTCCCTAACTGTGTGGGACTCACTTTCTTCATAAGGAGTGAAGGTATTGGTTGAGAATTAGGTCTTTATACTGTGACTTTCTTGTTCTACATAGAAAGATACAAAAACATGTATCTAAAACTACAAAGCTAGAAGAATTAAGTTCAGAGCCTTTTGTTCCAAGATTATGGAGAATTTCAAGATGGCAGCAGCAGAATGTCAAGACAAGCATGAGCTCTTCTGAGTGTGGGGCCTGGTGTCAGGCTGGTCCTGCCTGTAGTTGCTGAGAATATCTTGAAAGGAAGGCGCAATTCATCTCCCCAGCCAACCCTGGAACACAGCTCTGGGGTCACTGCCTTAACGTGGCCCCTTCTTTTCCTTTATTCCTTCAATAATATCCCATGAATTCTGGTGACTTGCCAAAAAACAACTCCTCTCGCAAATGATACAAAGTTTTGGTGTGACCTTGTCTATGGTAACCAACTCTTCCTGGTTTATCCCAAGTTGACCCATTTAACAATAAAACTCACCTATTCTGGGAGCTCCCTCAGTTTTGGGTAAAATGTGACATTTGGTCTCTCAAAATCTAACCTTTCTACTAGGTTTAAACAAGGGCTTGGTCACCTGGGAAAGGCCACACCAGGTAAACACCAGCCAGAAGAATCTTCACTGGTGAATATGACTCACTAGGAGCTGCATTGAGTGTGTTCAAAGTCTTTTAATTGAAATACTTTTGTTGTTTAAGCACCAAGCACCTTCATTTTTCCTCATGGCGTCTTCTATAAGGCTGTTTTTACCAAGAGAACTATATAATGTCAGCAAACTTAGAATACCTTAATTTAAAAAAAATTAATTTCTGCTATTTAGGATGGTTCTCTAAAATTTTTCCATGTACTGTGTTATGTACAGTATTTTCAAATAAAAGACTTCATGACAACAAAAAAAGAGCCCTGACTCACAGATACTACTATCACCATTCTTCCCTTCAAATATAAAAGCAAACCAAAGACAGACACAACCACCCTTATGCCAACAATAGCAATAATAACAAAGCTGGGGGCCAGTGACGCTGAATTTTCAAAAGCACTCATCAGGCACTTACCCTTTGTCAAGGTACAATTCCACTAAGTGGCAAGAAGCATAAGGAGGAAGGATTCCGTTGAAAACATCTAGCGCCATCTGTAGGCCACTTACAGTAGTGTCATGCTACAGAAATTGGGAACAAATCATTTTCAATCATTTTACTGCTGGTTCAGATTTGCATTCAATAGATATGCATTTGTAGAGCACCACTAGGGTTTCCCATTCAATTTAATTTCCCTTACTCCCAAGTCTTAATAAGTACTAAGGACTAAATATAATAAGTATTAGGGAAAGAGTTAATTTTACTTCAGCATCTGCTGTGCGCTACATAGTAAGATTTACATACATATTCCTATTTAAAAAATGAAGAAACTGAGATCCATAGTCATTAAGTAACTTGCTTATCATCAAATAAGCATAGAATAAAGTAAACTTGAATTAAGTCTTCTCAGTCCTGTGCCTTTTCCCAGTAAAGCAAATCTCTGCTTTTGCTTGTTCCATTGATTTTTCATTAAAATTTAAGATATTTTAGAACACATTAATGCTAAATTATATTTTTCTATAGATTAGTATCATTGTATTTTAAAGTTTTGGAAGAGTATATAAGGCCATAAATGTTTTAGGGAGGTTAAAATATAAGGAAGCTTAAAAATAATTGTAGCTTAAACATAATTGTTGCAAGGCACAGTGGTGCACACCAGTAATCCCAGTGACTTGGGAGGCTGAGGCAGGAGGATCTCAAGTTTGAAGCCAGCCTCAGTAATTTAGTGAGGTCTTAAGCAACTCAGCAAAACCCTGTCTCAAAATAAAACAAACAAACAAAAGGGCTAGGGATATAACTGAATGGTAAAGTGCCCCTGGATTCAATCCCCTTAACCCCTGCCCCCCCCAAAAAAAAATTAAAGTTAAATGTTTGCCTCAGAGTGGCTGAAAGGTATACAGGATGATTTTCAATCCTGGAATTGATTAGCTATCTAGTGTTAGGTAATTCTCAACTTCCACATCTACAAAGTGGGGACAACATTTCACTGCCCAAACTGTATGACAGTGTACACATATTCAAAAGGGGTGAGGATCAATCTAAAAAAAAAAAAAAAGAAAAGAAAGAAAAAAAAGAAAAGGAGCAACATAATTTGATAGAAGTCACACAATAAGTTAGAAAAAGAAACCAGATTAGAAGCTAAAAAAGCAAAGAGTCAGCTCATTTCAGGCCCACTTCTCTTTAGCTCCCTCCGTGGGCTATTTCTCTAGCCTAATCCATATGGAGGATAATATAATAATCAAGCTTCCCTGTATCTTCAGCCATGAATGAAAACATGGATTTCCTCTAGTCAAATCATAGTTTCCCTTATAACCAAGCAAATCCCTTTTCCTGTCTTCTTGCGGCTCTGGTTTCAGACTTCTCCATTTTTCTAGATATTACATAAACTTTCTAACTAGGTGCTGGTCCCAGATTCCAGTCTTTCTGCAAGATAATTAATTTCTGAAATGCTGCCCCCATCCTGTCCTCCCTGCCCTGACCTCCCTGAGCAAACCCCTTCAAGGGTAGGGCGAGTCTCCCCTGCTTCATATTTTTCCCTAAGAAATTTACCCTAAGAAGCATGATCTTCAAGCTGCCTTCCAGCTCAAACATTCTGAGATATCAAAGTTGCCTGAGTCTACCTGTTTATCTACCTGCTTATCTCTCCCATCTCCTGCAACAGAGAGGTGGCCGCCCTTTGGGAGGCACCAAAGCCCTTGCTTGAATGGTATTTCCACACTGCTTTGGTGTTTGTCTTCTTGTTAGCATTACCATTAAATTGTAAATTCCTCAAGGGCCAGAATGACACATTTAATCTTCACATCTTTGTGCAGATGTCTACCATTCCCAGGGTAATGGGGAAGTAATCAGGATCAAGATGAGGTATCTCTAATAAGAGATCACCCACTTAAACAAATGGGTGTTAAATAAAGACAGAAATACTTACCGCAGAATACATGACAAATTTTTTGTAGTTTTGGGATTGAGTTGCGCTCTTCAGGTGATTCAGAATTTCACCGACCAGGACACCTTAAGGAGATAGATCAATAATGGAGCTGAACCAAACCAGGCTTATATTTTAGTTTTCAAACTTATTCATAAATGGGGATGTTCTCTGATGATTTATCAAGAGAGGCAAAGACCTAACTTTGGTTGAGCCTCAGCTATGTGCTGGGTAGCATAACTTACACACATTTTTTTTTAAACTGATGTTTCAGTCTTGTCCCTCATTTATAGCTAAGAAAGCTGAAGCATGGTGACATTAAGTGACTCACCCATCTGGGAAAGGAGATCTAGACTGGTGCATTCTAGAACTCTCCTGTAATGGGTTCTAAATTTCAGTTTAGGAGGCTGATAACTTGGAAGTTATTTTAGATTTTTTTTTCTTTCCAGATCTTACAAGATAGTTGTCAGCCAATGACCATCTCTTGAGCAGAACTGAAATGACTGCAAGGCATGTACTTCTGTCTTCACCTCCTTTTTTTCACTCTCAAACAGTCAGGCTTTATAGGAGGCCTTGGGAGAAAGCAATTCTCCAGATGTGTGCACAGATCATGGGCTGTTTGTGGACCATTTCTTCAGATTATCCTGGGGGTCACTATTGGGGAGCAGCCAGAATCTTTAGCTCTCACTATCTGTCATCAGTAGAGGGGCGCTTTCTGCCCTTCACATCCAAACACCTGACTCTTGTTGCTCCTGGGGTGACGAAAGGCAGGTGCACAGAGCACAGTCTCTATGCTGTTTGCAGATGCTGAAAGATGTGGGGTACCTCCCAGTGCCAGATTCTGCTTTAGGACACGTTGCTTCAGAGACTTCCATGACCAACTCTGTTGGGGAGTCACAAAAGAGACTTCTGTGTCTTGGTTGGTTGCTCTACTGTATATGTGTTCTCCTGGCTTACGAATGACCAATGGTGTGTGTTTGCTTTTGGCAATGAACAGGCATTGACATTAATAAACTATGATCCCAGACTCTGTAGTTTGCTCAGCAAGTTAACCCTGAGCAGCTATTCTGGGTCAGACACTGGGCTAGGTGAATCAGAGCAGTGTTATGAAATACTAGGAAGATATAGGCCTGTACACCAATTAGCACAATAAAGGGTTAATCAAGGAGGTAGGTGATCAGTTCTTTTTTCAGATGCTGGCATTTACCATGAATGAAAGAAACTGGATGCTGTTTTTCTAACAAATCTCAATTTCTCTGGAATACTTTAGGGACTTACACTTGATCTTCATGGTACTAAACTCTGTTGCCAAGTTTCTGGAAGTCATGACAATCATCTGCCAAAAGTGGCTTGCCCTTTGTCACCTGTGCCTTTTTGGGCAGGCTGCAGCCTTGGTCACAAGTGTGGTATCAGTTCTTAGTTCTGGGTGATTATTCCCTAGTCCCAGGAGTAGCTAGGGGTGACTATCAAATCATCTCTGGGCTCTGGCATGCCAATATTCCATTTTATAGGATGGGATGGCAAAGGCTCTGAGAGGCTCAGTAACTTGCCCAAGATTGTGTGACTTGTAAGTAGAAAGCCTGGGTTTTGAACCCAGTAGTTCAAAATCCCTGTTCACATAAAGCAAACATCTAAATTCCCTGTGGCATCCTTTCTTAAATTTGCATGAACCAGACAAAACATTATTGATCAGAAAACACAAACTTTACTTCTTTTATTCCTGGGCTACAGAAAAAGTTGGCACATTTTTTTCCTGTAAAAGGTCACATGGTAAATGTTTTAGGCTTTGTGGGCCATTAGATCTGTTGCAACTTTCAACTCTGCAGCGATAGCATGAAAACTGCCAGAGACATTGCATAAATGAACAAGTGGCTGCTTCAGTAAAACTCTATTTACAAAAACAGGCAGTGAGCTGGATTTAGCCAACCTCTAGTCTACAGCAAGAGTGGATGTTGAAAAAAAAAGAGTGGGTGTTTGTTCTAAAACTAGTCTTGGGAGTTTTGGGGTGTGTGTATGTGTGCACATCACCAGACATTGTCACCTCTGAAATCAATTGGTGGAACAAAAGTTCTGGTCAACGTCAGAAGATACTGGTCACAGTACTGATGTTCTTGTATTCTGTGTCAGCAGGACAATGGATGTTTTCTGTGCATGGTTGTGTTCAGCCACTTCATCATTCGATAAGCATGACGTTGACAAATCTTTCATGCTTAGTCAGATAGGAACAATAGGGCGGAGCTCGTGTTTTGGAAGAACCCAGGAAACAATTTTCTGGCTTATCAGTGGCACTGAACTTCCTCTAGGAAGTAGGGCAGGAGGGTTCCCACAAGTGCCAACCTATATAATCCATGACCAGAGAATACCTGGGGGAAGGACACTTAACAAACAGAGTCTAGTTTAATCCACTTATCAGTTGGGGAAACTGACGCCCAGAGAGAGGAAGTGGCTTCCCCCAGTATAACCCTCCAGTAGACAAAGAGGGTAAGTGGGGAGGGAGGAGGAAAGATGAACAAGTTGCTAGGGTAAACCCCATTTCATATATATATATACATATATATATATGTATATATATATGTACAGCATTAGATTATTGTTCATTCCTTTCTGGTGTAAATCATTGGGATTTTACTAAACTGTGGATTCTAATTCAACAGTTTTCAAGTGGGGCCTGAGCTTCTGCATTTCCAGCCAGCTGTTAGGTAAGGGGGTGTTGCAGGCCAATAGGCTGCACTTGGAGTAGTGAAGGGCCAGATTCTTGAATCCATCACAATGAGGCTGAGGGGAAATAAATCTTGATTCTGGTGCACCAGAAATGAGGCCTGGTGCTTATGTAGCCAGTGAGACCCTCTGTGTCTCTTGTTGTAAAGGATGAGCTTCTTCCTGGGTTCTGCTCCTACACACAGTCTGTACCTTGCCTGGTAATTTTTCTGACATGCTAGGTTTCATCTAAGACTCTTCTCTGGATGTGCTCTCTTCCTCAAGGGCTGGGCTTGTTGCTTGTGCCATTCTTAACGTGGAGCAAAGACCTGAACATTTCCGTTGGGTCTGATTCTGTACCATGCTATGGGGACTTTGTCACAGCAGCTTTGCAACATCCTCATGTCATTAGGGATCACTATCCTGCATTATTAGCCCCAACATCACACTCATTTCACATGAATTTGCTCCTCATCATCCTGGTTTCATGTCTTATTAGCTCTTCTCTTGGTTACAGCTTGTCTCACTCTATATCTAAGGTGTAGCCCTGCTTTTCTAGCTATAATTGACTCCATAACTGACTTCTAGCTCTAATTGTCAGAATCCTCTGCTGCTATGCATTCTCTTGGGATTCTAATGGACCTGTCCTTATCAGGTGAACAGCATTTGGCAGGAATCCTGATGTGATTATACCAGTTTCCTCAAAATGTCTAAAATAGGCGTGTCCTCACATTAACCACCTCTGAGCCTGACACCCCGTTTGGTGTTTTGGCACGTCCACCTAGCTGCCCTCACAGGCTGCAGCCTCTGTCTCTAACCCACTTGGTCCTGGCTTCTTTCCTCTACTCACCTGTCCTCATCACAGGGGCCCAGAATCCTCCTGCTTGGGTCTACCTTCAGGATGGCAGGGTCATCTGTGCTGGGAAAAGCCAATTCTATCCGAGAAGAGGCATCACTGACAAATAAGTCTCAATACCTTTCAACACCAGTGAAACAATTCAAGCTGTGTCATAAACTTATCAATTGTAATAAATAAAATATATAGATCCTGCAAAATAGGTTCTATTAACTTTTAACCATGTCTTCTAGGTTCCCAGGCACAAGTGATTTTCTTCGGACTCAGACATGAATCCTTGGTTATTTCATCTGGATAGAGAGATCTGGACAGAAAGGACCATTTATTTAGTGTTAGCTCAAAGCTTTCAATTTCCAGATGAGAAAATTGAGGCCCAGAGTGTGTAATATTGATGATTACAGTAACACAATGTTTGCTGACAGTGTATTATGTACCAGCTGCTGTTTGTTCTAAATCCTTTGAATACATACATTCATGTTAACCCTGTCTATGAAGCAGGCGTTGTTGTTACAGTTTTAAGAGATCTGTCTGGGGTCACTCAGTGGGTCAGTGATAGGATTGTGACTCAGACTCAGACCACAACCACAAATCCAAAACACAACTCATTTTCAAAAATACTTACCTCCCTGGAGTCTACTTTTCTCTTTCTGCTTATGAATTCCAAAAAGGGACAGAATGGATAATTCTGATAATTCTTTCAACTTAGCCATGGCGTCCTTAGTGGCCCAGGAGGGTAAAGTGAAATTGTGGACAGCCTGTATCAAAGAAAAAGGAAGAAAACATTTGTGCATTTTTTTTTATTAATGACTATCCTCTTTGTTGATTTTTTAAAATCTTCTTTGGCCCCACAAGAACCACTGGGGCCAGCCTTTCTTGTCCTACCACTTCTTTTAAAGACTTTATATCACAATAGATAGTTTTTGACTTAACTCTGGATAAACGTGTGATTCATATTTTGCAGAACAAGAGTGCAGTAGGGCAAGGATGTGGCTCCTTCCTTTATGCAAGGGTTGGAAATCTTCTATGAATCTGTGGGGGAAGGTATAAGCTTACAGGGTAAGATGGTATTTTCTCTGAAGCTGAATGAGCTGTCTGAGAGGCCTGTTAGGATAGGCAATGTATTTCTCTGGAGCCTTCAATAATAGACACCCACCCCTGGGAACTTGGAATTTTGTACTTGGGGCACAGTAGAGACTGGGTAGATGTTTGTTAAGCATGAACAAGCTTTAGGCAGTGCAAGTAGAGACCAAGTGTCATTATTTATTATCTATTAGAAAAAAGCTGATTAGGAGTCCCCAAGTTTCAGAGAGAGAGAGAGAGAGAGAGAGAGAGAGAGAGAGAGAGAGAGAGAGAGAGACTGATTGATCATGAAAGAGCAGAACAAAGTGACACAGAAGTAAGAAAGAGAGACACGAGAAAGATACCACATGACATGGTCTCCTTATGGAATAGGTCAGATCAAACTGAAGTATGGAGTTAGCCTACTTTAGGCCTTGAATTTAATCCCCAAAACAAAACCCACCAACAAAAGAACCAAAATAAAACTAGAGTAAGGAACTAAAACGGTGGGTTCTTGTCTCCATTGAAAATGTCTTCGAGGCTAACAAATTTCATTGAAACAGATGCTGATGATAAAGTGAAACTATTGAAAGAGTAGCTTGCAGTTGGGCTAGTGAACTACCAAAGAGGGGGCACATAGTGTCATCTGTTACTGAGATGGAACTATAAAAGTAATTGCTGTCCCTAACTCCCCCATGATGAACTCAAAATCAGAAGTGGATGGTCAAGTGAATGGTCAGAACTGTGCCAACTGTGCTGGGAAAACAGGAAAACATTCCTTTTGCTAGCAATGATGAACATTTTTTTTTTCATATATTTGTTGATTAATTGTATATCATCATCTGAGAAGTGTCTGTTCAGGTCCTTGCAATTAGAGAAATGCAAATCAAAACCACTCTAAGATTTCATCTCACTCCAGTCAGAATGGCAGCTATTATGAAGACAAACAACAATAAGTGTTGTCGAGGATGTGGGAGGAAAAGGTACACTCATACTCTGCTGGTTGGACTGCAAATTGGTGCAGCCAATATGGAAAGCGGTTTGGAGATTTCTTGGAAAATTGAGAATGGAACCACCATTTGACCCAGCTATCCCTCTCCTCTATACCCAAAGGACTTAAAAACAGCATACTACAGGGACACAGCCACATCAATGTTTATAGCAGCACAATTCACAATAGATAAACTGTGGAACCAACCTAGATGCCCTTCAGTGGATGAATTAATTTTAAAAAATGTAGCACATATACACAATGGAATATTGCTCAGCAATAAAAGAGAATAAAATCATGGCATTTGCAGGTAAATGGATGGAGTTAGAGAAGATAATGCCAATGAAGTTAGCCAATCCCCCTCAAAAAAATGCTGAATGTTTTCTCTGATATAAGATGACTGACTCATAGTGAGGTAGGGAGGGGGAGCATGGGAGGAATAGATGAATTCTAGATAGGGCAGAGGAATGGGAGGGGAAGGGAGGAGGCAAGATGTTAGCAATGATGATGGAATGTGATGGACATTATTATCTAAAATACATGTATGAAGACATGAATTGATGTGAACATACTTTGTATACAACCAGAGACATGAAAAATAGTGCTCTATATGTGTAATAAGAATTGTAATGCATTCTGCTGTCATATATAAATAAAAAGAGAAAACTACTCCTTTTGACCAGAAGGTGGAGCCTGGTGAGTGAAAATACCGGGAACGTTGAAAACCACAGCCCTAGTTTATCTAGCTACAAAATTAATTCAAATGCATCACACAGTAAAGAAGTTCTCTCCTGACAAGCCAATTTTGATAGTCTGGCTTACAGTTGGCTTGTGTATTAGAGACGAGGCAAGTTTTCTCCCTTCTTTCTGTGTAACAAACATTTCGTTTTTCATTAAAATGCTTGACGGGAATCCAGCATTCCTTAATGACCGCAAAGTAAATAAGCGTCACTGTACAGAAGAAAAAAATTTTGTTTGCAGTTTTCTAAAAGGGTAAAAACCATAAAATAATGCAGAGAAAAGAGAAGTCAGAATTTTCAAGCTAATATAAGAAAAACCTGAAGTTATGTTTCAATATCAAAGGGAGTAACAAGTAAAAATTTGTAAGAAAAAATGCAAGTGTGTTTGTCTATTTCAAAATAGGTATAAAGCATAAAACTGGATAGCAAATATATTTAAAAAATATATAAATATATTTTTAAAAATATAGATATATATTTTTTCTTTTACCTCACAATATAAAGGGTCGTAGACTTTACTCCAAATTCCAAAAAGGTCCTGGCCATGGAATCCTGAAAGTTCTGGCAAGGTTGCTATAAAATCCTGGAACACAAGCAGAGAGAAAATATTTCTACATCAGGGTTTCTCATCTTTGGCATAGTTTGATATTTTGGGTGGGTGGGAGGCTTTCCTGCACATTTGTAGGCTGGTTAGCAGTATCCTGACCTCTCCCCACTACATATCAGCAGCACTCCTCATCTTCCAGTTGTGACAGCCCAAAATGTCTCCAGACATTGCCAAGTCTTCCCTGTGAGGCAAATCCACTCCCCTGAGAACCTCTGTTCTTCACAGAAGACTGCACCAGTAACACTGGCTATGGTATACGCCAACCAAATAATTTTATACACACTAATTTATTGTTTCTTATTAATACATTAAAATTGCAGAGGAATGCTGGCTTTCTGCCACCTGATCCAGGTTTGTGCTGAGATGGAATTGAAGCGCTCTGCTTCAGATTCTCTTTGGAGGTAGGCCAAGTTGCAACTCACATGTAAAGGAATGTGTGAGGTGAGAGTGACAGAAGAAAGTGGATCTCAGGCCAGAGCATCCCAGGAAAGCATGACAGAGGCAAAACTTCATCTCTGGCTGTAACCATAAAATCTGGATGAAATGTAGACATTTCCTTAGGGTCTGTACTATTCTTGGATTGTCATAATGAGACGCATATTCATCGATCTGCTGAAATGGGCAGCAGTTTCTAGGAAGTCTTTTGAAAGACATCATTGATTGAACACATTTTCTAGGAAACCATAATTTGGCAATATTAATTCCAACATATTTCCATAAAATAAATACAAATGATTGTTAGAGACCCCCCTACCACCACTCTAAATGTAAAAGATCCAGGGTCAGATGATTTCAGGGAGGGATTCTACCAAACTTTTTGAGAATAAATGATTCCAAAGCTACTTTAACTGTTCTGAAACAAAGAAAAAGAGAGCTTTCAAAAGGCATTATATGAGTTAGGATAACATTGATACTGACGAAGATTGCCCAGAAAATAAAACTATAATTCAGTGTCACTTGTATTTACAATACAAAAGACCTAAGTAAGATATTAGCAAAGAATTCAATGTCACGTTAAAAGAAAGGAAATATATTTGAGAAATGTAAAGATGGCTCAGTATTAGTAAATCTAGGAATATAATTAATCATAGTAGTTGATTCAAGGGAAAATAACTTGATTATATTTAAAATATTAAACAGATCGTTCAAAAGATTAAACAATCAAAATTGATTTTTAAAAGACACTCAAGAAAATAAGAAAGATGGATGGATACTTGCTTAACATAATAAAAATGTGTCTACTATATTTTGACTCAAAAGTCAGCATACTTAATAGGAGAAAACATCTAAGTTTGTAATAAGACCAGGATGCCCACTGACAATCCTACCATGTACCTTGATACTGCAAGTACTGACTAGTGCAGGTAGGCAAAAGAAAGAGATTGTAGGTGTAAATATTAGAAAACTAGAGGTAACAGCATACCACAGGGACACAGCCACATCAATGTTTATAGCAGCACAATTCACAATAGCTAAACTATGGAAGCAACCTAGATGCCCTTCAGTAGATGAATGGATAAAAAGATGTGGCATATCTTTTATATATATATATATATATATATATATACACACACACACACATATACACACAATGGAATATTATTCAGCAATGAAAGAGAATAAAATCATGGCATTTGCAGGTAAATGGCTGGAGTTAGAGAAGATAATGCAAGTGAATTTAGCCAATCCCAAAAAAACAAATGCTGAATGTTTTCTCTGATATAAGGAGGCTGATCCATAATGGGGTAGGAACAGGGAGCATGGGAAGAATAGACAAACTCTAGATAGGGCAGAGGGATGTGAGGGGAAGGGAGAGAGCATGGGGTTAGAAATGATGGTAGAATGTGGTGGACATGATTATCTAAAGTACATGTGTGAAGACATGAATTGGTATGAATATACTGTGCTCTATATTGTGAAAACAATATGCTCTATATTGTGTAATAAGAATTGTAATGCATTCTGCTGTCATATATAAATAAAAAATTAATAACAAAAAGAAAACTAGAGGCAAGCCATTGTCATTTTTAGATATTGCCAATTTTATGATAAATTTACCAGAAAGGTGTAAAGCCATATATTAAGAAAATCCTAAAATAATCTTTAAGAACAGTAAGAATTATTTATCATATTCTTCTTTTTAAAAATTTTTTTTTAGTTACAGGTGGACACAATGTCTTTATTTTACTTTATGTGGTGCTGAGGTTTGAACCCAGTACCTCACACGTGCTAGGCGAGCGCTCTGCTCTGAGCCTTAATAGTGAGCTGCGTGCTGTGGCACATGCCTCCAATCCCAGCAGCTCGGGAGGCTTAGACTGGAGCATGGTGAGTTCAAAGCCAGCCTCGGCTATCTCAAGTTGCTCAACAACTCAGCGAGACCCTGTCTCTAAATAAAATACGAAAGTAGGGCTGAGGATGTGGCTCAGAGTTTGAGTGCCCCTGAGTTTAATCCCCAGTACCAAAAGAAAAAGAAAAAGAAAGACTTAACATTGAAAAGTTGCAAATTCTCCTTAAGTTAACTTATGAATTTAATATTATCTCAGTAAAAACATTAAAAAGTTAAACAAGCTGATTCTAAAGTGCAGAAAGAAATTAAAAATATAGCCATGACAATTGTCAAGAATACAAGTAAAAAATAAATGTTGGCAAGGATATGGGAAGAAGCATGTACTCCTACATTGCTGGTGGGACTGCAAATTGGTGCAACCACTCAGGAAAGCCGTATGGAGGTTTCTAGAAAGAAATCGAACCTCCATTTGACCCAGGTATCCCACTCCTCAAAGGATTTAAAATCAGCATACTACAGAGCTGTAGCCACACCCATATTTATAGCAGTGTAATTCACAACAGCCAAGCTATGGAACCAACCTAGGTGCCCTTCAACAAATGAATGAATAAAGAAAATGTGGTATATATACACAATGGAATAGTTCTCAGCCATAAAGAAGAATGACT